TATATTTCATCAAAATCAATTAAAAATTTTGAATAATTGTTAATAGTTCCAATTCTCCAATTTTTCTTCCTGAATAGGTAGACATTTGCTGCAAACATATTTTTGCTAGAAATGTATGCATAATTCACCTGTGTATATTTGAATTAGCATGTATGTATTATGTATAGTTAGCATTATGTATATGTATAATTAGCACTATATATATTAAGTATATATTCTGCATATCAGATATTCATATAAATATACTTACCTCTCTATATAGTGCCTATAGTACTGATGTCTCTGTTGTCTATACTGTTTATATACCAATGAGGAGAAGTTAGAGGCTTTATTTTAATTGACCTTATTTTGCAATTGTTCACAACAGCCATCAAATCTTGGAAAACTCATATATTGCATGCTGGGGGTACTTACAAATCCATCTTCTCCAAAAAGAATATACTTATTTGTGTAAATGGTCAACAGAGGCTTGGAGAAATGCTGAATTTCTCTAGAGCTTTGGTGAGCCGCGTTTCCATTAACTGAAGCATTCAGGCAAGTCAGTGTCAGTGCGCATCAAGCACAGTGCTCCGCTCAAGGAAAAAGGAATGGAAGCAGGTGAACTGGCAACTTTTGGAAGGAAAAAATTCTACTAACTTTCTTTAGCTCACCTCGGCTGTGCTCTCACAAATTGCAAGGCATTTTTTTATTTCATTATCTCCCATGAAGAGCAGTGTGGCCAGCAGAGCCTATTGTATGGTGGTGTTATTTTGATTATTATCTTGTACTATGTAGTGTTAATTAGGGCCACACAACTACCTGCTAAACTGAATTATTAAATTGCCTCCATTGTCATTTCCACATGTGTAAATTGGGGGTTCATAGTTAATATGATAGATCAATATCTAGGTGGTGTGCTCAGTGAAAAACCACTATGGTTAGCCATTAGCAGTTTTATTAAATATTGCTCCCATTTTGCAGACAAGGCAATTGTGGCTCAGAGAAGATAGTTTACTTAAATAGTAAAATAGAATCTATTCCATTCAGTAAACATTCATCTAACTTTGATCTGGGACACACACATTTTCAAAATACTGAAATATAAAGATGAATCAGGCATAGTCTGGATCAGAATTCATCACACAAAATAGAAATCTCTCTGGATGATTCAAGGACAAATGAATTTAAATACTGGAAGCTGGTGCTTAAAACCTCATTGGAAGAATAGGAGGAATTAAAGTTAGGGGAGGACTGTGACCCGTCTCTTGGTTTTGAGATGCCAACCCTGAAGATGTGTCCCAGGGGTCAAGAAACTGCTGTCTCCACCCTCTCACTGCTGCCATCCCAGCAGCCTCTCAGCTTCAGAGTGGCCCCTAGAAAGCAGAAGGTGGGGTCCAGACACTGCTGTAGACAATTTTCCTTCTAAAGTTTGCCTTTGAGAGGCTTATTAGTAGACTGGACATTACTAAGGAAAGAATCTTTGAGGTTCAGAATGTATCAATAGAAACCTCCAAAACTTAAAGGCAAAGAGAACATAGACTGAAAAAACAAATCCATATCAGAGTATCTGAGGACTGTGGTACAACTACAAAAAGTGTGGCACACATGTAATTGTAATACCACAAAGAGAAGAAAGAAAACAAAGTGGGTATTACAGTGAGGAAAAGGAAAGAATCAAGGATTATGTCCTTGTTTTGGACTTGGATACCTGACGGAACACAGGTGGCAGTATGTCAGAATTTTTATCTAGATTAATTTGATGGCGAAGTCGCTGATTTCCCTTCTATTAATCCTGTCTCAACTGTGATTTGGTACTGATCAAGCATTCTGTGTCTAACAGTGTATCCAAGAAACCCCATGAAATCATGTGTAAGATATGTTTATATGTGGGCATATCCATTTGTCAGGATTGAAGAAGTATGTCCTTCATATGATTCTCAAAGTTTAAAAATCACTTAGCTAGGATGTTTGGCTTAATAATTTAAAAGCTGGTGCTCATTCAGTCTTGTTTTAGAGATCAAATGCTCATTCAGGAGTATATTTGAAAGTGTACTAAGTGGTTCTGCTTCAGGTAGGGCAACAGATTAAAAATTTTTGAAGATCTTCCAGCCGTGAAACACCAAGATGTTGGATAAATCACAACAAAAATATTTCCAGATGCTGTGTTGAACTCTGGGGAACATGAGACAGATACTCTCAGAGCTAAACTCTTAAAGTCTGCTGGGGACAGACAAACAGGCAAAGAATAAGCAAAGCCTGAGTAGTTCTGAAGACAAGTGTTAATGCAGGAACTTAGAGCTTTAGACAATAATGATTGCCCGGGGTGAGGAGGTAGGCAGGAGCAGAGACTAGCTTGCACAGATTGATGTGAGGTCCTTCATTCCTCCAGGTGCTATACTCCTGGGATAAGTTTGTACTGGGAAAATCCCTGCTGGCCAGGAAACCTTTAAGTGAACCTCTCTGTCTCTCCCATATCCAGGTGAAAAAATAATAATATTAGCATTAATAATGAGGATAATAGTCTTCCCTGATAATCTGAGACCATCATATAGCTCTGAGATTTGAATATACACTGCATAGAGAAACTCCAAAATGGGAAAATAAATTAAAGCCAAACCAGGTTGATAGCAACTAGTAGGAGCTGTAGAGATCTTGTCTGGGAGAGTGCATTCTTAAGGCAACTCCTGTAGGATTCTCAGTGATTAATATCAGCCAATATGAGCTCACCATAAACCAGGTACTACAAACAAGATCAGCAGAAAGAGCAAATTCACATCCTCAAAGATGCAGAAACAAAAGATCTAAGTGTAAAATTATTCTGTTATTAAACAATGTTATTAACGATGGGATTAAACAAATGGAGCAAATGCAAAGGAACTAGTAAATCAAAGTTACATGGAAATCTATTTTATACCCAGTATATTGGTAAAAATTAGAAAGATTGACAATACCAAGTGTGGTATGTGAAACACCTCAGACTTTCTGCATTACTAGGGGAAGGAGGGTTATAAATTGGTACAATTGCTGTTACCAATGTTGTAAAGTTGAATTACATGCAGTCTATTACTCAACATTAACACTTTAGGTATATACCCTGCATATACACTTATGCACATATGCACAGGAAACATCCAAGAATTAAGTGTGCAGAGCAGCAGTGTTGGTAATGGCAAAACAAAATATTTGGAAAGCACTGTGCATTGACAGGAGAAAATTAATTATGGTATACCACACAATGGTACCATGACAGTGTGCTACTGCTGTGCATAACACGTATGAATCTCAGACACAGTGAACCTCAAGAGCAATGTTATGTGACAATAGAATATATCCACTATGTGACATTTGTGTAAAATTTATGTACTTAATAAACTTAATGGTATATTTTAGGGGTACATAAATATGTAGGAAAAATATAAAGTATAAAAATAAATAAAATACACAAAAAATAAATAGGCAAAATATATAACATTTATAAAATGTAAGCAAAGGAGTTATACAAAATTTTTTAATGTGGGGGGAGGGTGAAAGAATATGAATACAGTGAACTTCCAGGTTACGAACTATGTGCTATTTCTTAAGCTAAGTGGAGAACACATGGATGTTTATCTTAGTATTCTCTTTATTGTAGACACATTATTTATCTTCTTTTTATGTGTAAAAGTACCATAACTCAAAAACATACTGTATCTGAATGTCAGCGTGATTTATTTCTTATTGTAATGATCTCTTCTGACAGTGTTATAGAAGAAAACTACATATTTATGAAAGAAGTAAGACACAACATAAAAGGAGACATTTTTTTACCTTTACCCATTCTAGTGTTTTTTAAGTACTGTTGTTTTTCCATTGTGTGTTATTCTGAGACATAGGTACTGTTTTGCAAAAAAAAGTTCATCATTTCTGAAAAACAATACACAAAATCATAAATTAAATATTTATGCTCATAAGTATCCCCTCCAAAGCCAAAATATTTAAATGGTCATACGCTGTGCATGTTTTTCACCAGAGAATCTTCCTCAAGGAAAAATTTAAATTTAAAAAATACATATGCTATTATTTTAGTTCCTTTTCTTTTGTTCTTGTTCATGCTCTAAGTAGAACCCAGAAGAATGTCAGTTTATTATGATGCCATTTCATAGACATCTCTAGTGGTATGGTTTTTTTAAAGAAGATTTTAGTAGTTAGTTCAGTGTGGAGTTTTGAAATAGTAAATGGCAAGAATCAGGTTTCATTTATCTGGAATCCACAGCATATTCAAGTGCATTGTCAAAGGTTGCAATTCACTGGGCTTAAGGATTCTTTCATATTATGGTGTGGGATGCAGTATTTAGCTATGGATGGCAAGGAAACACCTCTATACATCACTTCAAATCTTACACAGCTGAGTTCTTGCTGAGGAGGATGGCTTTACGACAGCCCCATTTTCCTCCAAATGAGTAAAATGCATCTCCAGACTTCTTAAACCATGACTCTAGGTTTTCCTTTTGCTAAAGTAGGTTTTCTATTTATTTTATGGTTGAAATAAGGAAAGGAAAATGTTTATAATAGAGTTGATGAAATAATAAGATAAAGAGAGTGAGTTTTGATATCTGACAGTGCTCACATTGTACATGACTACAGTGAAACTTAATAAAACATTTTAATTTAAATACTTCAATATAAGTAATTTAAGTAAACAGTTATCAAACACAGACTCATTATTTGACAAATCTCTAATGCCTTTTATTTCTGTTTCTTGGCCTATAATGATTTTGTAGTTATAAGTTTAAAATATGGCACTCCTAAAAAGCTGAAATTCTTATTAATAACCAATTTTTGAGAAAGACTTGCTTTATTGCATATTGCTTCAGTTAATATATGAAAGCTATAATGTTTAATGCAGTAAGTTTCTCCTCTGTAACTGTGCAGATAATCGTGTTTTAAGTGTTAAAGAATAACAAACATATCATGTGACCTCCCTTAAGCATTCTCAATATATGAAAGTATGTTTTGATTTTTCTCCCTCCATGTTACTCTAGGATAGTTTCCCAGCACGATTTGGAGGAATTCATTTTGTCAATCAACCATGGTATATCCATGCCCTGTATACAGTGATCCGGCCTTTCCTAAAGGAGAAGACTCGGAAAAGGGTACTTGTTTGTTTCTTTGTTTTAATGTCTTTTCTTCTCCCCATTCAATGAATTATGATGTTCTGTGTATAGTATTGACTATGGTAAAATGTACTTCTATATTGCATATAAATATTCAACATACAAAACATTTAAAAAATTCTTAAAACCTTATGATTAATCCTGAACAGTGTATCTGTGAGAGAAATATTTAAAAGCTATCTCTCCTATTTTCCCACAAATGGGGAGCATATTTTACTACATGTATTGTGTATTAAAACCTCTGTTTAAAAATTTTAAAAAGGGTGTTATGTTCCTAGATTATTATTGGTACACTTAATTTCAAGTAAGGTCTAGACAAAAGTTATAATTTTATAAGGTGAGAAATGGGTGTTAATTATTTCACAATAAGTGTAGCATTGAATTAGTGAATTTTATGATATCTAATATCATTGAACAGTGATTGTCATGATCAATCACTTATTTCAGAAAGAATACTAATGTGTAGAAATGTTATTATTTCTTTAAATTACAAGCTACTGGAATTCTAAGATTTAGTTTCATTTAACAATGAGGATATTCAAAGTACCTACAAGAAAATAATAATTTTTCTGAGAATAAGATAATTTATATAGCACAGTTCATGGTGGATAGTGAATGTTGAACACATTTATCATTATTATTAATAATGTAGGTTTGAAAAATGCATTATTCCATTTTATCCTCCAAGCAGCTTTGAAAAGTCAATTTAGTAAGCATTATCCACTATTTCAGAGCTGGGGAAAGTAAGTCTTAGGATGTTTAAGTAACTTCTTCACCCATTTACACAGCTGTAAAGTTGTAGAGCTCATATATGAATCCAAATAACTCCACATTTAGAGTGATTTTTACTGCTGTGCTGTGGTCAGTTTTCAAAGATTAGTTGCACAGTAAATTATACTTACCTCTCAATCTATAGTGAAGATAATTTTCCATATATCACAATGAATGAGAAGGTTTACTGTGAGTGTGAAAGTGAAGAAATTGTTAAATGTGTGTTTGCATCAAACATTAGTGAACAGAGGGTTTTCTGTACATGCATTTATTGAACGTGTTTTAGTCTTTTAGGGAGAAGAATTCTGTAAATAATTAGAGTTTATATCAGGAATTGTTTCTACCACTCAGAATCAAACTAACTTACATTTTAGAATTCACAAAGATATATTGATGTGCCTTACAAATAACACTTTGGAACTTTGCTTTTTAAATGGATGATCAGGTGATCCTGAACACCTGCTGGGGTCTTTAGTACAAATTGTACTAGTGTAAGTTTCTGTAGTATTTACTCTATGTCCCATGCTGTTCTAAGTACTTTACATTTGATAACTAACTTAACCCCACAGCAAGGCTTTAGGTTAAGCATTGTCATTTTTCTACCTTTATAAATGGGATAATGAGGCACAGAGTTTTAAGCAATTTGCTCTAAATCACAGCAAGGAGTGTGTAGAACTGATTATGGATTTACTGGGGAGAGCGTCCAGGCAGAGGATATGGCAAAGACAAAGGTCCTAAGGTAGAAATACTCCTGGTGTATTTGGCAAAGAGCAAGGAGGCTAGAACAGCTGAAATAGCATCAGCTACTGGGTAGGGTCATAGGGACAGGATGGGAGGAATATGGTATGCCTGCTCAAAGAGGGTCTTGTGTTCATTTCAAGGATCTGTGCTTTCAGTCAGAGTGAAATGAGAAATATTTGAAAGACTTGTTCTGGGCACAGTGTTCAGCTCTGTTGAAAAAAGAGTGAAGAGGGTAAAATCTAGAAAACAAACAGAACTCCAGGTTTAGGGTTATTTGATTGAGTTTGACAATTTGACAATGCCTAAAATGCATTGCTAGTATTATTTCAGATGAAAGTGAGGTGTCTGAACTTTACCATTTTAATTTAAACTATATGACTTGTAACTTTTCATATGGGAAAATAATTATAGTTTAAAGCATCTTAAATGTCTACTTTTATAGTCAATGCACATTGCAAAGCTATTACATTCTTTACTGGTATTCCAAGTGATTCAGTATCACAGTGTTACTCAAACACCTTATAACTCAAACTAAGGATTAGTTGTGAATCTTCTTTCACAAACCAAAAAAGCACCTAGTTATGCATTTTCTTAAATTAAAACTGACTTTTAGTTTCCAACATGTTGGGCTAATGGGAACATCAACCTTAGGTGTTATAGGGACACTTCTTCTCAAAATCTTACCAATATCTGGAATCTTTCATACAGAACTGAACATCCCATCCATCACGGCCACTTCAGATATACTCATTGTTCAAGCCAGCATTAGTTTCTTAAATTAAGGTCTCCTGCTCCCAAATTGTTTGTGAGGAAAGAGCATCTTTGAAGGAGCCAGACCCAGTGGCTAGGCTTCGACCACTACCCGAGTCACTCTTCAGCTCCTACCTGGTTCTGGCCTTGCCACTCCTCAGGAACTGGGAGGAAACAGGTTTCCCTACCGACTAGGGAAATTCTGCCTTTTCCTCAGTATGGCAGACTCTCTCTTCTACTCCTTGCCGAATCTCTAAAGTATTTCACCCTCCTCCTTTCCACACAGGCCACCTGGTATAATCTCTTTAATGGCATAGTTTAGGAAAATAAAATAAAACAATGGAAGTATTATTCAGGCCTAAATCTTAGAATTCTAACTCTAAGGCAAAGTTGCCCACAAGGACAGGAATTCTTGCATAAAGTAGAGAAAGAGCAAAATGGTAAGGAGAAAAAATAATAAAACTTTAATAAAGTGATGAGGCCACACAGAACTAGTTAAAACAAAAAACTATGATCAAAAATAAAATACTGGGAAAATGGCAGTGCTTCCTACCGCCCAGCCCAGAGGTACATTCACACTGAAGAGTTCTAAAAGAGAATCTTCAGATAATACATATTTTTCAATAAATCTTGGGTTTGGAAAAATGACAGTATTATATTTTATGAATCATCAAGAGTATATGCATAATCTAACTAAGTACATTATTTAGTATGTTAGTAAGTTAGAAAAGCTGTAAAGAAACATGATATAGGGAAAGTGAACAGGGCCTTCCAAGTTGGGTAAGGTTACAGTATTAAAAGGCTCCCAAGGAAGGCCTTCCTGAAAAAGACTTTCAAGAAAAGACTTGCAGAATGCTGGAGAAAAAAGCCATGGGGACACTTAAAAGCAGAAATTATCAGAGAGAAGAATACCCATTGCAAAAGTCTTGAGACAAATGCGTACATGGCGTGTTTCGGCAAAGAGTAAATAGTAGGAGATGTGTTCAAAGGAGTGCATGCAGGGCTTTACAGCATTTTCTCTGAGAAAGGGGAGAAGCTAGTGGGTAATTGTGAGCAGATTAATGATCTTACTGATGTTTTGACATGGTTGTTTTGATTGCTATGTTGAGAATAGAGAGTCTGTGACAAGAGTGCAAGTAGAGCACTTCGAAGGCTGGTGCAGTAATGTAGCATGAAGGCTGAAGGTGGCTTGAGTTAGGGTTGTAAGGGTGGAGTTGGTCGGACATTTGTATTTAGGATATATTTAGCACCAAAAGGATTTACTGACAACTTAGAGTATGAGAGGAATTAAGGATGAGTAGAAGGTTTTGGCCTGAGGAACTAGAAACATACTCATATCATCAACTGATCAACTGATGTTGAAAATAGGAAGGAACTGATTAGGAGGAGAAAATTGCGAGTGCAATTATGGGCATGTCAAGTTTGAGATGCCCAATGACTGTTTAAGTGGGGATGGCCAGTAGAGACTGGAAATACAAATAAGGAGTTCAAAGGAGAGGTCTGGATTCAATATAATTTTCAATGTATAGATAATGTTTAAAGCCACAAACTGAATGAGATCACCAAAGAGTATGTACTGTTAGAGAAGAGAATAACTCAAAGAACTGAAGCCCAGAACTCTCTGACACTAACGTGTTGAGGCAATGAGGAATAATCAGAAAAGAGACCAAAAACAAGCATCCCTCAAGGAAGGAGAAAACCAAAAGATACTGGGAGTAAAAGTTCCAACGAGGGAAATCATCTGCTCTCACGAGTGCTGCTGAGAGTTCAAGAAAATCAAGGTCTGAGAATTGGACACAAAGTTCAGCAACAAGCAAGAACTTGACAAGAACTGTTTTCATGCTATGGTGGGAAGCAAAGCCTATTTTGATTAGATTCAAGGAAAATGGGACTAGAGTTTTTGGACAATGAATTAAGACAGCTCCTTTGAAGAGTTTGGCAGTGAAGGAGAGAAATAGGATAACAACTGGGGGTAGAAGTCATGCCAAGAGGGGTTTATGTGTCTGTATGGAGGGGACGGAAGTGTAGAGTTGGCATGTTTGTTCTCTTCTGGGAAAGCTTCACCAGGAAGAGTAAATGTAATGATGTGAGAGAGACATGAGAGGATTGCTTGAAAAATATAACTGAGTAGAGGGAGGAGGATGAGTTCTAGTGCACAGGTGGGGAGGTTGGCCTTCGTAGAGTTTATCCTTCCATTGTGCTCAGAGGGAAGGCGAAGCATATGGACACAGATGCTGGTGGGTGGGCCTCATCTGGTTGCCCTGCTTTTTCAGTGGAAGAGGAAACAAGGCCAAAGCTGAAAGTGATGGCGAGGGAGGAGGTAACAGTGTTAGTGAAGAGAGAGGAAGTAGAGTGCGAGGATTACATTTACTGCTCTAAGGATTTATTTCCGTAACTTTTTCATGACATCAAAGAAAAGGTTTCTTACATGAAGAAGCACATCAGATAAAAGAAAGGTTGTGTAACTAATGAAATGGAAGTTTCAGGTGCTAGAACTTAACTTGCCCAGGAAAATACTTTCATTTCTATGAGAACCTAGAGAGAGGGAAAGAGAGAGAGTTTTCTAGACATTGTTTTCTGTAAATAGGAGTGGAAAGATGTAAAATTGACAATTAACCTAATGTACTTTGAGGCAGATGGCATCTTCTACCTGTGCATCGCATATTCCAGGTAGATCCCATCTACCACCCCACATTATGTAGTCCAGGCAACTGTTTGCTCTGCCTATTTTGGTCAGAGACCTGTTCTCATCTGCATTTACTTTTCCATAATTTATTGAAACTTCTCATTGATTAGTCATAGCCATCCCTTCTACTTATAATTGATGATATAGACTAATCTTTCTTTGTTTTTCTATATATTTACTTCAATGGACACTAAAGGTATGGAAAGCAAAGATGAATACGTTAGCCTGTTCATTGTGAACTGAAGTACGAAATTATTTCTAAGTCACTTATCGACAATGACCCTTAAATAAATATTATATAAATTCACATGAGGTGACAACACTGCTTTATCACAGAATACTGATTTGCAGTTTTGAGACTGAAATGAAAGAAGAGGAGAGTAGCAGTTTATGGAGAAAGAAGTCTTGAGCATGTAGCTAGAATAATCTCTAGTTTATAAAAAAGCTCTCTGTGAACAGTAATACCAATAATTAATGTATGCATACAGCTTTGCATTTTTCAATCCATTATTCCATTTTCTATTTGAGCAATAAGCATGGCAATCTCAGAAAAGATGCTGGCAACATTACAGAATGTAAGTCCTTTGGGACATGAACCTTCACTCACCTTTTCATGATGATGATGCTAATCTATTTTTATTTACATCACACACTTTGTATTATAAATCAGTAATTCAGTGGCTACAGTATTCTTATTGTATTGATGATAAAGCCATACCAGTGACAGCTTTTGGGCTTAATAACTTGGATGGACTATGTTGCTGATGAGTCCCCTATGAGAAGGGTCTGTTCTAACAGCATTCATTATGCACATCATCAGCTTTGCACAGCTAACCCTGGGATCATGCACAGATCAATATGCACATCAGATTCTGCTCATGTCCCCAACTATGAATCAAGAAACCAAATTTCTGATTCCAGCTTTTTAATCCAGTAACTGTCATTGACCTTCTACAAACTGCTTAAAATCCCTGAGCCTCAGGACTTCTTATGAGGTATAGGATAAAAATACCAGCCCTGCCTGTTTCACAGAGTGGATGAAGGACTTAAATGTTTTAGCAGACATGGAGAACACTTGTATTTGCTCCTCCTATTCCGACCCCCTTCCCCTATTTAGTATTGGGATGGTATTTATTTTCCAGTGTTTTTCCCACCCTTCTTTTGGCACCTGTAGATATTTCTGCATGGTAACAACCTAAACAGCCTCCACCAACTCATTCACCCCGAGATCCTGCCCTCTGAGTTTGGAGGAATGCTGCCCCCTTACGACATGGGGACGTGGGCAAGAACGCTGCTGGACCACGAATATGATGATGACAGTGAATACAGTGTGGACTCCTACAGCATGCCTGTGAAGGAGGTGGAGAAGGAGCTCTCCCCCAAGTCCATGAAGAGGTACTCAAGGCCAGGGAGGTGGGCCAGGGCTGGGGCAGAGTGCTCCAAGTCTAACCCAGGTTTTGTGCTTTTCTGAAGTAGATATTTGGTGGGATTTTAAGGTCTGTTGGGCCCTTGTTATTGGATATCTAGGAATTTTGAGTAAAAAATAAAGTCATTTAAGGTAGTCTTTGCTCAAAGTTGTTTCAAATTCACAATCTAGCAGGCCCTTAGATGTTACCAAATTCAGTGGTTTTTCAAACTATACTCTCAGCGTTCAAGTGGAGTGCCTTAGGCCAAGCAGGTTGGGTGGGAACAGTTCCTATTTCCACTGAAATGAAAATGACAGTCCTTCTATCTAAGCAATTCACTGGATTTTTGTGTAAGATTTCATTTGAAGAAAGAGATCCATAGCAAACACACACACACACACTTTAAACAGAACATTCAAAGCTTATGTTCTCTTTTTAGTATCTCTGCCATGTTTCTGTTTAAAGGTCCAACCCTTCCTAGGACAAAGCATCCTATCTCCCCACAGCTTTAGTTTTTATAAAGTCCATTGTTGAGTCAGATTCTGACTCCCTATTTTGACCCTCACTATATTTTTATGCCTATTTTCTTTCAACCAATGCATATTTATTGAATACATGCTCTCCAACTGGCACCTTCCTAAGTGTTTGGGATCCAGTGTGGATAAAACATATGCCCAGCCATACTCTGGTGGAGACGGGGTGGGAGAGGTGCCAGACATGCCCCAATGCATAACTGCCTTTGGTTTGCCTTCTGCAACAAACCAGAAGACATCTCTCAGTTTCCCCAGCCACACCAGCCCAGGACTCACTTGGATAATAGTAACAAATATTAATGTTGGGTTCATTTACCATCACAGAAATATAGGAAGACAGCTAGTGCAAGCCTCTCCTCACCTGACCTGGGGAGAACCCCAGACATCTCTCATGTCATCCCTGCACTGCCTTGTGTCCTTCTCTGATGAGAGCCTCTGGTCCTTTGCTCATGAGTCTGTCTCATGCAGCGGCAGTGGCAGCCTGTGCTCGGAGGCTGGCCGCTTGTTGGTGGTATTGCTGTTGCTGGGTGTCATGTCTTCCCCTCCGTGTTATTTATCCACAACTCCTGGAAGAGAATGGAAAGGCCAGAGACATCTCCAGCTGTAATTTCTCCACTAATCAACAAGTCTATATTTACACCAAATTTGGGATTCTCAACTCCCTTCTCTTAAAATAGGGCTTCTTAATGTGAGTTCTGTGCTCTCCTAACCAAAGGGGTTCATAGATGAGCTAGCTCTCAAAGGGGTCTATCAATTGTTCATAGTTGTATTCAATGTGTATGACTATGTGTGTGTGTGTGTAGTCCATTTTTCTGGGGAGAAGGCATATATTTCACCAAATTCTCAAAAAAGTTTTCTAAAACAAAAATGTTTAAAAGACAATTGCCTAAGAATAACGTCCTTCTAATAAAAATAGTAATCTGAATAGCAATCATTGTCATAAATCCCAGTTACAAAGGTATTTATCATAGTTGGGCCCTTAGTAGGCTTTTTTGTGGGGTAACATTAATTTAATTTTCACATCAACACTGTTAAACAGATTTTGTATCCCCAAACTCACAGCCTGTATCTGGGGAACAGGATTCTCAACGAGGAAGTATAGAGTCTTTTATGCTATTGACATAAACCTTGTCTACTCCTCCTCGACAGCATGACACAGCGCCCTGTCAGCCTGGGTCTGAGCTATATGAGGATTTGGAGACAGTCGTCGTAGGTGTTCCCTAGCCCTTTCCTTTACCATCAAACAATGCTCCTTTCTTTCAGCTGCCCCTTCTGTGATATATTCACTATTGGGGTCCCCTCCTCTGAGCACATTTCTCTCCATGTCTTCAAGACTCTGAGTCATACCCCCATCACCTGCGCTCCCCCCAGAGCCTCTTGCCTGAGGTCTGTGCTTCTACCTTTACCCTCCTCCCTTACCCACGGTTTATTTTCCGTGTGACAGTTTAAAAGACCTTTTTAAAATGTAAATCAGATCATTTCACTTTGCTGCATTAAATATTTAAATATTTAGTGACTGCTGAGTATACAGTGAATAAAATCAGTTCTGTATCGTGGTTTACAACGTGCTTTCTGATCTGATCCTGCCTCCCTCTCTAAGTTTCCCCCACCTTCTCTCTCCTCCCTGCCCTTTCAGACATGTTATATTTCATACTGCTCCTGCAGCCCCTCCCGCCTGTTCACTGCTGCATGCAATGCTCTTTCCCCGCATCTTCCAAAGGCTGGCCCCAACGAAGATCACCTACTCAAGAGTCTTTCGGTCTTTTACAACCGCTGATACTAATCAACTCTACTTCTGCCTTGTTCCAGCTATCAATCACTTCCTTTATTTTCTTCATACCACCTAAATCTGTCAAATGACTTGATTTTATTTAATTTTATATCCCTTCTACCCCAAAATGTGAGTTTCATGGAGACGTTAGCGGCTTTGTCAATCCTGTTCTCTGAATCCCCAGGGCCTGGAGTAGGGCCTGGCACACAGGCTGTTCGCGAGGTGTCAGTAGGATGAATGAAGGGCTGCTTTGCTGTCAGTGGCCCCTTTTAAGTTCAGTTTTCGGAATTGATTAGGTGACATCTGACACGGTATTACTGGCATTGGGTTCCAGAATTGTGGCGTCGCAGAAAGGCCCTCACCGGCTCCCTCTGGTTCCCATGGTTGTCTCTGTCTCTGCGGCTCAGGCCGACAAAGCTGCGGGCTCCTACTGAGCCCCCGACACTAGTAAGTCAGTCTCTTTACTTGTATATCCATCTCCTCGTAATTCTGTTTCCGTGTTTGGCTTTTTTTCCCCACCACATCATTTTAATTGATTAACTCCATCTTGTTAGATTTAGCTCGGTCTGTTCACCTTTTGAAGTCTTTCTGGATCCTGATTTTCTTCTCCACTTAATTAGGCTGTTTTGTCCCCTGAAGACTTGGCTCACAGCACATTGATCTCCTGAGCCCTGAATTTCTTGCTTCTGATGCGGGATGATTAGAATTTCAGATATCCTTTGTTTGGTGTAGACTTTTGTATGATATAAAGCTTTTATGGCTTTGTTTGAAAACTTCTGAAGAATGAGATTAAGAAAGTTGTTTCACTTGAGTCTCATTTTCTCTATGTCAGGGGATGTTGGTTCCCCATCAAGGACAGGAGAAAATTGTTCCTAGGTTTCACCCTGCTCTCTCCTCCATTTTCATTTCCAATTTTATATCACCTTTAGATTGAGAGGGGGAAAAAATCATTCTTACACCAAAGAGTTGTAGATAATTCTTCCTTTGGGTGAATTTAGCTGGATGTATAGGTAGAAGACTTCATTCCCTGTGTAAATTTATAGAGTTAGAATAGTCATTAGAAGGTACAAAGTTCACTACATTGAGGGAGAGTCTTTATATCTCTAGTACCTAGACTAATGTTCGACATGTAACAGTTGTAGTGAGCAACAATACTAATAACACTGGCAAGGTAATATAAACTTTGACTTTACTGAATAATATTCAACATCTATTGTTCCTACATGCCAAACCCTGTCTTATGCTTGATATATATTGATACCTTTGTTTCCCAAAATAGCTAATAAGGTAGTTCAGTCTCCATCTTACTGATGAGGAGACCCAGATACCGAGAAGATAAGGAACTTCCACATTAGCACTTCTAATATTAGAACACAGGCAATAGTATTCCATACGTCATTTCCTTAATGACTACCATTTGTTATCTGTCCATATTTGTGTTGGGTTTTCTGCATGCATTATTGCATTTGATCCTCAATGCAACTGTTTGATGTAGGTATTATCTCCATTTTACAGATAAAGGAACAAAATCTTCTGAAGTTTAAATAGCCTTCCATGTTCACAGAGCTAATTAATAGCAGAACTAGAATTAGACTCCACTTCCGTCCAAAATCTATATACCTTTTAAACACTAAGGTATATAGCATGATATTGTAGATGCAGAATAAATGAACGAATGATGCCTGGATAATTAAATTTAAATTATTGGTTTTTATGGGAAAAAATAAGTTATTCATTGCATGGACAAGTAGAGGCTGCATGGGTATTGCCGAGATGTACTATGAGTTAATGTTAGGTAATTCACTATATTGAAGCTGAAACAGACCAATTCATTAACAATTTGATCCTGCACAAAAATCTCTGTTTTGTATACAAGAATAATTTTTTAAAAAAGATCTGTACTAAAATAACAGTATATCTGGGCAATTAAATACACCAAAAAAAATCTTTATCAGAAATTATTTCTGCCTGGTTTACTTTATTGAAGAATTGTTTTACATACGGAGCCTGCACTCATCACCCAGCGATTCTGATTATCTGTAGTGTGTGATAAAAGCAGACCAGAAACTTAGTCCCAGCTTGAATAATGACTGTAATTTTGACTGTAGTTTTTAAAACGTCTCGTTGTAATTACCATATCCTCTAATAATTTAAAAAACGTAGTCAAGGAATGTAAGGATTTTAAAGAATTATATATATGTCTGTGTTTAAATAGAACATTATGGCAAATGCTTAACTTGTGTATCTTTGTTGTCTGAAGAGCTTTGGTGTGTACTTATTGAATATTAATAGGATATTCCTCAACATTTATAAAATTCATTTAAGTTTATGAGAATTTTAAAATATATTTTCTTTCAAGAATTTCTTTTTCCACAGGATAAACTGCTTTATCTTCATTACTTTTCATTCTGAAGGTTTATAATACCAAGCTTTTTTCAGTATGGAAACTACTTTGGGTACAGAAGTGAAGACATTGAGATCCTGCTGTGTAACAGCCTCTGTGATACACATTGTGTTCACAGTAAGGAAAGAAACTGATAAAGTCCCAGTTCATGGAACTTTTAGTCTAGTGGGTACCAGTTGTCAAGTTAACAGTTCACTGCAGAGTATTACATGAACCTTTGTTTTTGCATGGATTCATTTCGGGAAAGCAATTTTTTTTAGTTGAGGCTAAGAAAAACAACATCAAAAGTCTAATTACTAAATGTTTTGTACAATCACCCTCTGGGTTAAAATGTCTTTGTGTATTTTTTCCTAAGATAAATTATCATTGCATCTAAGAGTGATGCAGAATCTCTCCTCTCTCTCTCTCTCCTCTTCCTCCTCCTCCTTCCCCTTCCTCCTCTTCTTTTTCTTCTCCCTTTCTGTGTACACATTTGTTCAAATTTAGCTAATTTCCTTTCTGATATTGGTAAATCATACCTATTACTCAGATAAAATAGTTTAGAAAACAAAACCTCTCTGTTTTAATGTTCTCATCTTCCTTCATTTCCCTCCTTAGAAACGAAGTTAGGTTTATTTAAATGAATGAGTCAATTTATCACTTAATCTTGTAATTATTTTTGCTTTAATAATTAGTTCCATTGCTGTTCTTTTCCATTAGCATGTGCAGTTGTATTTTAGCTTATAGTCTTTCTTTTTGAAAGTTAATGAGGTCTGCTAAGAGGCATATTGCCACAGCAATAGCCAATTGGCTGGAATGCAACAGCAGGGGAAAAATTCATTACCGAGGAGAATTGTAAAAGGGCAGCTGCTTCTTTAATGCCATAGCTATTAAGATTGCAGCTTCCTGCCATAAAGAGTAGCATGTTTCATTGACTTTCCTCCTTCCCAGTTTCATGTTGTTTCCTAATGATGAATTGAGATATAATTTCCACCTACTATCAAAGGCATATGTAAAGCGTTCTCAAATTATTTCTTTCCTAATCAAAAAGTACTGCTGCCTAAACAAGAGAGGTTTTCTTTTTTTTCTTTTTAAAGTCTTAAAACAGTACAGTAATTTTCAAGAGTAAGACTGATTTTATTTGGATGTTCTAGTGGGAAATTTAACAAAACCCATATTTAAATTTTGATTTAAATTTTGAAGAGAAGTAGAGGAGGAGGAGGGAGAGGGAGAGTTGAGAGATTTTGCACCACTTTTAGACACAGTGAAAATGATGGTTAAAAAATGCATAGTCATGTTGAATTTTTTTCATAAAGCCCTTTAAGACAGAAATCGAGGCTGCTATCATTTCTGTTTCATTTCTCATAACAATTTCAACTGGAATAATTTCCCATTTAGAGATCTTCTATGACAATACATCTTTCCTATAGTAGAAATTCTCAGTCTCAAAGAAAAGACACTTGCTCGATCATGAATAGAATAATTTAATCCTATTATTGTATACTTAGCATCCTTTGCTTCTCGTTATTCTGTTTAGAGGCCAGAAGGGATGGTTTCCTAACTCTGATGCAAAACACCACCATAAGCATGTCTCTCTCTAAATGTGCAATATTCTCAGTTCATGAATATCTTAATGTAGAGGAAGAAAATCCGCCTTCATGGGAGAGGTAATGGAGAAAGACAGAGAAGAGACTGTGATTATTTGGTGATAACTCACTGACACTGGCTTTGTCTTTTTCAGATCCCAGTCAGTAGTGGATCCTACGGTACTAAAGCGCATGGATCAAAATGAGGAAGAAAACATGCAACCTCTGCTCTCTCTGGACTGATAACTTCTCTACACCCTCCATGGATTTGAAATGAAAGGTACCTGTTTTCAACAACAGGGCCAGCACTGTGGAGGAATTACCAGCTGGAAACTTATGTGTTCATGTTAATGTAGCATAATATACATGGCAACAGGCTTTCCCATTTGCCTGAACCATGGGTGCCCTGGTCTGGATTTAAAATAAAAGTCAATAATTTATTCTGTAAGTGCCAAGTTCTCTGTAAATACAATGTAATGTTCATTGTTTAACATTTGTAAATGTTACAAATTAAACTGATAGTTTAATTTTGGTAGTAACTTAAATTGGAAAAGGTTGGCTCTTGAGTCCATGCCAGTGACGGGAACTATTAACAAAAACCAGAAAAGACACACAATCAAAGCTGATTAAATGTAGCCCTGTTTCCTATGAAGCCATATTTCATCTATCATAGTGATTGTTTCATTGTTTTTTTCTGAAACTCTATCACATTCAAATGTACTTCTAATGAACATAGGTAAAAAAATGACTTTAGGAAATTATTATGATAAATGTATTTCCTGTCTAGTGATTTTCATTTCACAGAAAATGTGTCCTAGTGACTACCATTGGCCTTGCATTTTGGAGGCAAGGGATGGCAGATGAGCTGGTAAACTGAACACTTCAACTCTTCTATGTTGTTTAAGTCCTGTAGTCTTGTGAAAAGATGTTAGCCAAACTAAGATGTGGAATTCTGAAAGAGAGTGGATTCTTTTAAACTGCTGTCTTCACAAACTGTCCTTTATTCAAGACCCATTGTATCCCTGTCTGATGTACTTTAAAGACATTTTCCCCAAAAATCTCTTTAACCAAGAGAAAGAGAACTCATATGTGAATAAGCGTTTGACAGCTAATTTTAAACATAAAAGTTGTCACACATGGATAGGGGGCTAATTTCTATGTATTCACACACATATATATTTTTACTGAGCTCTAGGTAATAAATTATTGATGTGATAGGCTTATAGAATAAATCCTACATATCCAAAGGTCTTAGAGATATTATAGATAATTACATGAGATGCCAACTCTGGAAAACCACTTCCACTAAGTTGATGAAAATGAGGTATAGTGAAACAAACTTTCAGGGAATTAAGGTCATTCCAGTTTAATTTGTAATGCAATCTTGAATCTGTGCCATTTTAGTGAAATTTATTTTTCCTTCAAAAAAAAAATACAACAGGTTCTCAACATAGTATAGGCAGAATCAGGTGAAATGATCCTATAAGTACCCATTTTCTTCCCAGAGAAGATTGAAAGGACATATTACATCCAGGAGACATAGTGAAACCATCTGAGGGCATCTGAGATAGCATATTACAGTTCAAATTTAGATTTGGAATCCTTATGTTATTTAAATTTTTATTTCATAAAAATTCTGCAATTATAGCACACTTAAAAAATCTACTTTAAATTTCAAATTCCAGTGTGAAAAAACAAGATTTTTACCACCTTTCAAAGTGGTAGTTTTTGAGATTGAGAATTTACCACTAAAATATTCTTCTGAAAGAAAAATATCTCAAGGAACTTTTGGAAACCAACAGAAATAAGGGCTTGTAGCAGTCTTTATATGCCTTTTAGCCAAAAGCTTCAAAAATTCCAGTTATAATTCTACAACCACAAATCTTAAGATCAGTACATCAGTCTGCAGTATCACCAATGGACTATCTAGCATTTGCAAAAAAAATATGCAAATATACATAAATAATATGAATGAAAGATACTTTAAAAGTACAACCACCAATCAAGTGCAGAAGAATAATGGCTGTCAGGTACTCTGCTCTACCCACAGATGTTACGGAGATTGAAATGAATGGGGGATAAAAAGCTACAGCGATTCTTACCTTTGTAAGAACCCTAATCATTGGTGTTATGTTTTTGTCTACCTGAAATACATTTTATAGCCTTGAGCTTTGTATACTAAAAGAGCAAGTATTAGGCAATATGATGCAATGGAATAAAATAGATACTAAGTACAGAAGGTCAGTCAACTTTCTGCTCTCATGAGTTTCTCTTAGGATGCACCATTTATTGTCAATTTTCAGGATTCTACCAGCTTCATATGTCAGCCAATACAGTCAGCTTCTTTCCCATATCATTAGGCTAGGGTCATATATAAAAATAACTAAAAAGACATATTCGATGTGACAACTATCTAATTAGAAGTATCTGCACTATCTTCCTACCCAACATTTGGAAACTTTGTATCAGTAGTGCTGCTCATCTGCTCTTCTTCAAATGAGCAATTGAGAGTTGGCTGGATTGTATAACATATTTTTAAATGAATGAACAAATTACAACAATGATGCCTTTTCAAACTGCTATATGTAGTTCAGTCTGTGAGTAAGCTCATTCTCTAGGAATGTTTCTGAAGCTACTTAGTCAAGGGACATTTGTAATATCATACATTTTCATTTTCTCCTCAGCATTACCTAGGTAGCACCGTTTAGGAATTTTTCCCTCAAGTGATGTTTTGTTTCATGTAGTTGGTCTGTTGTCACATAATTTAGTAATAAGCACCCCTATATTCTTTCAACTGAATTGTGGTAGCAGCCACCACTGACACACACACACACACACACACACAGCATGAGGTGGTGCGCCCTCCTGAACTGCCTTTCTAGTTTGAGAGCTTTGTTTCGCTCTTTTAGTTGTCTTGCTACTGAACAGGCACAGACATTAAAGAATGACCGCATTTGATTTGGAAGAGGCCCGTAGTCCTCTTACTTCTCTCACCCCACCTGTTCCATTTCCTATTTTTAAATATCTTTTCTTTCTTCCATGGTTTCAGGGCAGCTGCTTCCAATGCTCGTTTAAAAATAAATAACTTATGTTGTCAGTGATATTTACACACATTTTGGACTGATATTTAAAAGGGAAGAGAGTATCATGAAAATGCTCTAAGAACTATGAAGTGCCTCTTTAAGATTGGTATAAAGCAGTGATACTAGGATAGAGATTCTATTTGTACTCTCTTCCAAAACGTAAATATACACACTTAGAAGGGTGAAATATAGATATCGCTTTGGAGAAGAGTATTTGAGGCCTTGCTTTGAGCATTCCTATAGAGTGTTATGTCTTTTTTGGGCAAAGCTCAAAACCTTAACTGGAACACTGGTTATCTACAAACCTGAAATGATGCTAAAACAATATACAACTATTAGATAGAGGTTTGCAAGCAAGTTTTTGAAGTGGGCATGCATGGTTTCTTTTATTTCAATAATAGTTTGCATAAGTGTAGGCAGAGGCATTCCTTAAGTCTTTTCATATAAAATGCTTGTTTATAGTACTGCAAATCATACCTTTACAAGCAGGAAAGCCAAGCGACTAGGCTCTCTATAATACTGTTAATAGGTTACATTGTTTTGAACATTTGAAGTTTCTGTAATATTCCTGAGGGAACACAGGTCTTCTAATGCATTAAGAAAATGGAGAGTTTTGTAGACATCAGGGAACATGTTTATCACTCTTCACAAAAAAAAAAACCCTTACAACCATTTTGCAGTGGGTCTTTGGGAACAGACATCCTTTCCTTCTTCAAACAATGTAAAGATTTATGGACATATCTGTGGCCCTTTAGAAAAAGTATAGCAAGAAAACCTGCTAAGAGGCTGTACATTCTTCTGTGTACACTCTTCTGTTGTTTTATCCAAATATCTAACCAGTCTGGTTAGTTAATAATAATCTCTTTTGCTTCTTATTGTGTGTCTATTTATTAGTGATTACTTGAAAAGTTGCCATCAGCCATGAGGACATTTCAGAATGCTTTTCAACACACAAAATACAATGAGCAGAGTTCCTGCATGATATTTGAACTCTTAGACATGGTATTTACATTTTTTATATTAATAAGCTATAAAAGCATATATTCCATTTTAAATGTGCCATATAAATATATAGCCTAAAAACAGTGGTGCATTTTAAATTTAGGAGGCCATTAGATCACATAAAGAATCAGCAGGTTATGTAAAATTTATTGAAAAAAAAGTAGACAATTGGCCAAATAATCCAGGATGTATAATTACCTTCAGTGGTGAGAAGGGGTTTTTTTTTTTTTTCTTGTTTGTTTTGGTTGAAAAACTGCTTTCCAATATGCTATTGGAACTAGTTAGCACTATTTACTAGCTTGTAAGGGGACAAAAAAGTAAAAACACTAAAGGAAACTTGGCTTTGAGACATTATTATATCATGATCATAATGGCTTAGAGAATATAATTTTTTTTCATGAATTCAAGTTTTTATTTGGTAATTATCCACACATGGAAATAATATTATGAAGTATACTCTGTGCTAAGTGTAGAACTTTTTTCCCCTGGACTGTAGGAAAAATATAGCAATTCTGTGAATTTAAACACCCCAATAGTACTATTTTTTAAAGGAGAATGAGTACAAATGCTACTGTTAAAAAAAAAGGTATTTAGAAACCAAGAAAGCATAAACTTAAATACAGTAAATGCACTTATACAGTAAATAGTGGACATTGTTATAATTTAGGAAGTGTTTGTCCAGTGTTTGACTTAGTTTCAAGTTTCCATGCAAGTATTTTTGTCCTTAATAATATTTATGTATTTATTCTGTCAAAATTATTTTTTTGTGGTGAATGAAAAGGATCGATGAAATCTGAAATAAATTTTAACAAACTTTTAAAAACCAACCCTCAACTATTTTGAAAAATTGCAACGGGCTATAATTGGTTTACATGCAACAGATGTTCAAAGCATCGTCTTTATAATCCAGTTTTTCAGTTTTCATATTTGTTTAAAAGATGAATACTACTCCAAAACTGAAGTAGTTTTTGTTTTTAAAACTGTCCAAAAACAACCAAAATGTCTGAAGTAATTATGCAAGTCCTTGATAAGACTGCTAAGCAAACTAATTACTGTTTGGCTCAAATACCTTTTGAGGGAGTTATTTGTTCCAATACAATATTATAAATGGTATAACATAATTTTTTAGTATGCATTTCTGTTTTTAAAAAGTATTTATTTTGCACATGGCGAATTTTGAATTTGATAGTACGGGATCTGTTGCATCTGTGAAATGCTAGATTTCTAAATAGTCATCTACAATTGGACAATAATAGTTTTACTTGGAGAGAAATTATAATTAGCTATTTAGGTTAGGATACCTGAAATCTTTTGATATTTGTGTTTGGGATTTAAAGGAGAAAACACATAATTCAGTTCATCAAAATGACATTTTCAGTATTCTATAATTTCTAGACCAGGTTTCAAAGGATCGTTTGAATGAAGGAGTAAGCTAATTGTTAAATTGCATATTGCATAGGGAACGATCACTAAATAAAATAACAGTCACATTTTTATGTAAATTTATTGAACTAGACAAGGTAGACAAGGGACTAAATTCAGAAATTTGAATTATAAAAAAGCACTATTTAAAAAAAATACTAATTATAAATAATCCCAGTTCCAAATATTAAGTAAAATAAAAATATTCAGCCTGACTTGAAAAAAATGCTTACTCAATAAATACCCATTTTGATCTTCTGTGAGTTTCCCTCATTCATCCTACCTATAGATGAAAAATTATCTGAGGGAAAAGAGCTATTTACCTAGAACCCTCTATGATGGACTTCATGAGTCTCTTTGGCTCCATGCAGATGGTTTTCCAGTACACAGCTTTTGAGGTTAGCAAGAATCATTTTGCCACCTCTTCCTGAAGGCTTGTCTGGATCCCAAGTTTCTAGCAGCAACGGAAGAAGCGTCCTGTGTGGGATAAGCCCAGCGTGACCAGAGAACGCACGGAAAGCCAGAGATGAGGTCTCTACTTCTCATCACTGAAAAGTGCATTGAAGTGTATTTTTAATTATAAATACAGAAAACTATTTCAAAAGAGTAAGGATTTCTGATATCAAGAGTTAAATACTTAGCCAGTGTAAAAAGGCCATGCAGACATGAGGGTTAGTGCTCTGACACGTAGTCTGTCTTCACACAGCAACAACCTCTAAAGCCTTATCTCTTATGTATTATTTCTCTCTAAACACAGAACTAAGTATGCTCTCTTCTGCCCCTTTTCTAATTGGAGTCATAAAAGTATCAGTTAGAGATCATAAACACTTTGTTGCCTTTTAAGGGAAAAAAATGTTACACTATACACTTACAAACACAATTCACTCAATTGCATAGGATTGAAATATTTGCATGCTTATAAATTCTTAGTGAAAAGTTTTTAAAAATATGTAAGAATATTTTAGTGCTAGAAAATTATTAAGTGTGTTTTATATCTGGGATTCATGGAGAAGACTGATAATATCCTTTCCTTTGAATTCATATATCTGAACATTTTTATTTAGAGGTCTCATGGACAGCTCACAGCTAACATTTACAAAACTAAACTTCTCTTCCTTCACCCGGAACCTGTTTCCCCTTTAGCTTGCTTCCATCTAAGTATCAACTCTACCTCCCACTTTCTAGGGCTTAAAATTTTAGTCATTCTGTCACCTCTCTTTCTCCCCAAAGCACATCAATCAGCAAGCTCATATTGTGAGCTCTTCTTCAAAATATGATTCTCACACTCTGACCACTTCTCTAACCATCGTCATCATTGCCTTAATTCAAGACTTCAACATTTTCCACCTGAAATATTTTAATAATCTGAAAACTAGTCTCCTTGCTTCTACCCTTGGCCTCTGGGGTCAATTTGCAACACATTAGCGAGAGTGAGCTCGAATCATTTCACTTTTCTCAAATCCCTCTGCAAGTGTGAAAAGCAACATCCTTAAAATGGAGTATGAGGAGGATTGACATGAAGTTTGTAAGCACCAGTATAGTAGAAAAGCATTTTTTCTGATTGGGTTGGCATTTCTGCTCAAGTAAATGCAGAACTAATTGTTAAATATTTTTAGATTCTTGCTTCTAAAGTCCTACACAGTATATCCTATCACCTCAGACCTTGACTTTTCTTAGATCATCTCTGAGAATGTTTCCTCTACACCTTATTCTCTTGCCAAATACTCATCCTTGCTGTTCTAGGAACTTGCCAAGCATTCTTCCACCTCAGAACTTTTGTACTTCTTACAATATATGCATGTAATTTGTTTCCTTATATATGCCTCTTTCTCCCAGATATCCACATAGTTTATTCCCTCATTTCCTCAGATCTTTGCTCAAATGTCACCTTCTCATAGAGAACTCTCTAAATTTCCCTGTTTAAAATTACATGGCCCTATAGATCTTAATGTTTTTCTTTCCTGCTCTATGTCTATCTTCGCCATAGTTTTATCATCTTATAATACACCAAGCATGATATTTGAACTCTTAGACATGGTATTTACATTTTTTATATTAATAAGCTATAAAAGCATATATTCCATTTTAAATGTGCCATATAAATATATAGCCTAAAAACAGTGGTGCATTTTAAATTTAGGAGGCCATTAGATCACATAAAGAATCAGCAGGTTATGTAAAATTTATTGAAAAAAAAGTAGACAATTGGCCAAATAATCCAGGATGTATAATTACCTTCAGTGGTGAGAAGGGGTTTTTTTTTTTTTTCTTGTTTGTTTTGGTTGAAAAACTGCTTTCCAATATGCTATTGGAACTAGTTAGCACTATTTACTAGCTTGTAAGGGGACAAAAAAGTAAAAACACTAAAGGAAACTTGGCTTTGAGACATTATTATATCATGATCATAATGGCTTAGAGAATATAATTTTTTTTCATGAATTCAAGTTTTTATTTGGTAATTATCCACACATGGAAATAATATTATGAAGTATACTCTGTGCTAAGTGTAGAACTTTTTTCCCCTGGACTGTAGGAAAAATATAGCAATTCTGTGAATTTAAACACCCCAATAGTACTATTTTTTAAAGGAGAATGAGTACAAATGCTACTGTTAAAAAAAAAGGTATTTAGAAACCAAGAAAGCATAAACTTAAATACAGTAAATGCACTTATACAGTAAATAGTGGACATTGTTATAATTTAGGAAGTGTTTGTCCAGTGTTTGACTTAGTTTCAAGTTTCCATGCAAGTATTTTTGTCCTTAATAATATTTATGTATTTATTCTGTCAAAATTATTTTTTTGTGGTGAATGAAAAGGATCGATGAAATCTGAAATAAATTTTAACAAACTTTTAAAAACCAACCCTCAACTATTTTGAAAAATTGCAACGGGCTATAATTGGTTTACATGCAACAGATGTTCAAAGCATCGTCTTTATAATCCAGTTTTTCAGTTTTCATATTTGTTTAAAAGATGAATACTACTCCAAAACTGAAGTAGTTTTTGTTTTTAAAACTGTCCAAAAACAACCAAAATGTCTGAAGTAATTATGCAAGTCCTTGATAAGACTGCTAAGCAAACTAATTACTGTTTGGCTCAAATACCTTTTGAGGGAGTTATTTGTTCCAATACAATATTATAAATGGTATAACATAATTTTTTAGTATGCATTTCTGTTTTTAAAAAGTATTTATTTTGCACATGGCGAATTTTGAATTTGATAGTACGGGATCTGTTGCATCTGTGAAATGCTAGATTTCTAAATAGTCATCTACAATTGGACAATAATAGTTTTACTTGGAGAGAAATTATAATTAGCTATTTAGGTTAGGATACCTGAAATCTTTTGATATTTGTGTTTGGGATTTAAAGGAGAAAACACATAATTCAGTTCATCAAAATGACATTTTCAGTATTCTATAATTTCTAGACCAGGTTTCAAAGGATCGTTTGAATGAAGGAGTAAGCTAATTGTTAAATTGCATATTGCATAGGGAACGATCACTAAATAAAATAACAGTCACATTTTTATGTAAATTTATTGAACTAGACAAGGTAGACAAGGGACTAAATTCAGAAATTTGAATTATAAAAAAGCACTATTTAAAAAAAATACTAATTATAAATAATCCCAGTTCCAAATATTAAGTAAAATAAAAATATTCAGCCTGACTTGAAAAAAATGCTTACTCAATAAATACCCATTTTGATCTTCTGTGAGTTTCCCTCATTCATCCTACCTATAGATGAAAAATTATCTGAGGGAAAAGAGCTATTTACCTAGAACCCTCTATGATGGACTTCATGAGTCTCTTTGGCTCCATGCAGATGGTTTTCCAGTACACAGCTTTTGAGGTTAGCAAGAATCATTTTGCCACCTCTTCCTGAAGGCTTGTCTGGATCCCAAGTTTCTAGCAGCAACGGAAGAAGCGTCCTGTGTGGGATAAGCCCAGCGTGACCAGAGAACGCACGGAAAGCCAGAGATGAGGTCTCTACTTCTCATCACTGAAAAGTGCATTGAAGTGTATTTTTAATTATAAATACAGAAAACTATTTCAAAAGAGTAAGGATTTCTGATATCAAGAGTTAAATACTTAGCCAGTGTAAAAAGGCCATGCAGACATGAGGGTTAGTGCTCTGACACGTAGTCTGTCTTCACACAGCAACAACCTCTAAAGCCTTATCTCTTATGTATTATTTCTCTCTAAACACAGAACTAAGTATGCTCTCTTCTGCCCCTTTTCTAATTGGAGTCATAAAAGTATCAGTTAGAGATCATAAACACTTTGTTGCCTTTTAAGGGAAAAAAATGTTACACTATACACTTACAAACACAATTCACTCAATTGCATAGGATTGAAATATTTGCATGCTTATAAATTCTTAGTGAAAAGTTTTTAAAAATATGTAAGAATATTTTAGTGCTAGAAAATTATTAAGTGTGTTTTATATCTGGGATTCATGGAGAAGACTGATAATATCCTTTCCTTTGAATTCATATATCTGAACATTTTTATTTAGAGGTCTCATGGACAGCTCACAGCTAACATTTACAAAACTAAACTTCTCTTCCTTCACCCGGAACCTGTTTCCCCTTTAGCTTGCTTCCATCTAAGTATCAACTCTACCTCCCACTTTCTAGGGCTTAAAATTTTAGTCATTCTGTCACCTCTCTTTCTCCCCAAAGCACATCAATCAGCAAGCTCATATTGTGAGCTCTTCTTCAAAATATGATTCTCACACTCTGACCACTTCTCTAACCATCGTCATCATTGCCTTAATTCAAGACTTCAACATTTTCCACCTGAAATATTTTAATAATCTGAAAACTAGTCTCCTTGCTTCTACCCTTGGCCTCTGGGGTCAATTTGCAACACATTAGCGAGAGTGAGCTCGAATCATTTCACTTTTCTCAAATCCCTCTGCAAGTGTGAAAAGCAACATCCTTAAAATGGAGTATGAGGAGGATTGACATGAAGTTTGTAAGCACCAGTATAGTAGAAAAGCATTTTTTCTGATTGGGTTGGCATTTCTGCTCAAGTAAATGCAGAACTAATTGTTAAATATTTTTAGATTCTTGCTTCTAAAGTCCTACACAGTATATCCTATCACCTCAGACCTTGACTTTTCTTAGATCATCTCTGAGAATGTTTCCTCTACACCTTATTCTCTTGCCAAATACTCATCCTTGCTGTTCTAGGAACTTGCCAAGCATTCTTCCACCTCAGAACTTTTGTACTTCTTACAATATATGCATGTAATTTGTTTCCTTATATATGCCTCTTTCTCCCAGATATCCACATAGTTTATTCCCTCATTTCCTCAGATCTTTGCTCAAATGTCACCTTCTCATAGAGAACTCTCTAAATTTCCCTGTTTAAAATTACATGGCCCTATAGATCTTAATGTTTTTCTTTCCTGCTCTATGTCTATCTTCGCCATAGTTTTATCATCTTATAATACACCATATATCTTATTATTGTATTTATTTTACATTTTCCCCTAATAGAATATGAACACACAGGTATAGATCTTTGTCTATCTTGCTTACTGGTGCATTACCAGTAATTAAATAGTGCTGGAATTTAGTAGCAAATCCAAAAAATTGCATGAAGATATTAATTTATTACAGCAAACCATAT